ATTATTACTTGCTCGAACGCAGTTATGTATTATCGGGGTTCGAGTGTTGATGATTGTGACAAATTTTATTAAAAAAAATTGACACGTTAATTTACGACCTTATAGTTAAAATTAATTTTCTATTTTATTTTGTTTAGGCAGTTTAAATTTAAAAAAGTTGAAAAGCAAATTAAATTGTACTTTCTGATACAAATCTCATATATTTCTCATATTATTGATCCTAGTCTACGCAGAAGAATAAGTAATCCTATACTATTGTTAATTAAATTTGCCCACACATTTCAGTTAAAGTTATGTTCATAACAAAATTAGTAATTTTTCGACGATTTTCTTTGCTAAATTTGAATTCAGGTTCAACAAGCATTTTGGATTTTAGGCTGAGACAGCCGACAGCCGACCATGTCTAATGTTGTGCAAGCAATATCTAGTTTTCTTCCAGCAGTGACCAGCCTTCTATTGGCAATACCTAGTCTTCTGTAAGCAGTGTATAGTTTTCTGCCACCAATATCTAGTTATCTACCAGGGATCTTAAGTTTTCTAACAAAGATTTCTAAAAAAAAGTATTCTAAAAAAGTATTTAAATTAGTAAATCTTTAACCCTTGTTTAACTGATTCAGAATAAGTTTATTACTCTTCAAAATTAATTCACAACTTTGTAAAATCTCCCAAACGATTACAAATTAGTTGGACTGATTCCGCACAATTTATTGATGCTGTTTTTTGGAATGATTTTGATTCTTCAGGTTTTAGAGTACTCAATTTCATATTAATTGATCCCTGATCTTGTTTGATTTGGTTGTGGAAAGATTTGATTTTATTTACCTGTGGATCATATGGATTTCCTTGGTTTGCAACTGGCCATGTTCAATCACCTTAACCTAAGCAATATCTAGTCTTTTGACAGCAGTGTCCAACCTTCTATTGGCAATATCTACTATTCTGTAAGCAGTATATACATTATTGTCAGTAGTATCTAGTTATCTACCAGCAATCTTTAGTTCTCTATCGGAAGTATTTAGACTTGTACAAGCAGTATATACTCATTTAGCATCAGTAAATCTTTAAACCTTCTTTAACTGATTCAGAATAGGTTTATTACTATCCAAAATTAATTCATAACTATGTAAACAAATTAGTTGGAATGATTGCTCACAATTTATTGTTGCTATTTTTTGGAGTGATTTTGATGCTTCAGGTTTGGGGTACTCAATTTCATATTAAGTGATTTCTCATCTTGTCTAATTTGGTTGTGGAAGGATTGGATTTTATTTACCTACGGATCAGATGGATTTGCTTAGTTTACAACTGGCCATGTCTAATCGCCTAAGCTATATCTAGTCTTCTAATAGCAGCGTCCAGCCTGCTATTGACAATATCTGTTATCAAGCGATTTAACAATCTGATTTAGGTAGGCATGCGCCGGTTTGGTTTGGTTTAAATTTGACTAGATTCAGATTTGATTGTCAGTTTGGATGGAGCAAAATTGAGGTTTATTGCTTATATATAAGAAGTCTTTTGTAACGTCGAGTTGAAAGTCTCCAATACTTTTTACATTATATTATAATATTTAAAAAGGTAGAGATGCATAGAATCAGATGTAACACAAAATAGACAAACGAAAGAAATAGGACGAGAGCTAAATAATGCCAAAATGATGGGATATATTAGCAAAAATATGGCAGAACGAAACCAGCAATTTAACAAAGACGTTTATCACAAGTCAAAACAATATAAGGCAAATGAATTTTGAAAAGTAAGGCAGAAAAATACATATTTTTATTAGATGTAGTGTTATATAAACCAACTTTATTTCAAGAGAAATGGCATTCTTCTAGGAACCACAAATAACTCCTTGAATTAGTGATAATCACGAAATACATTAGATAGCTAACAATTCGTGATAACTCTATGCTTTGAAATACTAACGCGATAAAAGTCAGAAATAAACATTTATAAAAAATAAAATCCCTCAATTTTGTAACGTACATTTTGTTTTTGCGTGTGATATAGATAACAAATTGAGTCTACAACGTGAAGGTATTAAAATTTTGTATGTAAAATCCTGTCATTATTTTATAACGAGTAAGTTAATACACTTTGAATATTTTTTGGAGTTCATTCAATCATTTTATTTTAAGATTTTTAAATTGAAATCATGGTATCCCATGCGATATCTCACAAGATACCCCACACTCGATTTAATGTTCTTTAGTGAAGATGGCTCGTATACTTATTGGATCTTAAATAATTTACCAAACTTCGAATCAATGATTTATAGTGGGTTTCGATTGAAACAATGATCGTTCCTATTAAAATTTACAACATGACTCACAACATATTTATTTTTTTATACCATAGAATGCTGCATTATTTTGCAGCGTCGCTAAATTTTGAAATCGGATATTTCGACGCTTCCAATAATCAAATTTTGTTAAAATATTAATCATTAAAATTGAGCAATTAAAAAAAATAAATTGATTAAATCATTAATTTTATAATAATAATTAATTTCTGATATTTTATTTATTGTTTTGTATTATGAGTTATTTATAGGTTTTCGCAACCGAGATTCATTAAACCGTACAGTTTGAATTTGATACGGTTTCGACGTTATAATATGTTAACGTAATTCTATATTATATTAAAAAGAAAGAAATGTTATGTTTTCTGTCCTTGTTTGTATATTATAGTCTATGTAAACCACGAACCAAGCAAAAATCATTCAGTCTACTTGTAACAATGGTTATGTTAAAAACTTTATTAATACTTTTCTTAGTTCAACTTGAAAGTCCATTTCAAGTGGGCGCTTTAAACATATTAGCGGTGTTTCCTTATGAAATGAGAAGTCATTTTTCAGTGTTTCGACCGTTACTACTTAATTTGGCTAAGAAAGATCATAACATAACAGTGATAAGTTATTACCCATTAGAAAAAAAACTACGAAATTATTATGACGTTAATTTAAACACCAACAACGGTGCCTTAAAAAATACTATTCCATTTGCACACTTCACTCAATCACGACTTGAAAAATACTTATGTTCCTGGGTGCTGCATAAATTCACTCAAAATACCTGCTTAAAAGCTTTAAAATCGCCTGAATTTTTGGAATTTTTAAAACAAAATCAACAATTTGATGTGGTACTAATCGAATTATTTGCAACAAATTGTATGTTGGAATATATTCCAGCGAATTCAAAGATTATTGGTTTATCTTCATGCTCAGTTTTGCCCTGGTTAAGTGAGTACTTTGGGTTGCCGGTAAATCCAGCGATAAATCCAACGGTTTTCATGGATTATAACACGAAAATGAATTTTTTTGAGCGGATAGAAAATGCTTTAGTGCACATTCAAAGTCAATTTATTTATAAATATTTTATGAATGTTAGAGGACCAAAGAAAGAAATCGCCGAAAAATTTATGTATAACATCAGTTTAATTTTGATTAATAGCCATTTTACAATGCATGAAGCTAGAATTTCGGTGCCACAAATGATTGACGTTGGTGGTTTACATGTTTCTAATAAAAAAATTACTTTACCACAGGTAAGATAAAAAAATTTAATATTAAACCGATCGTATTCAATTTTAAGAAACCAGTATAAATTCATGGTGGTGTTTCGTGTTTAGGGGAAACCCACCCTTACATAAATATCTGATAAACAGCCCGGGTAATAGTCTATTATGCAGACGATATCGGTCGGTACACGTTCGACAAACAGCGGAAAAACAAACAGGCTGCATTCAGATGTGCAAATACCGAGGGGGTATCACCCAAACCCCTCGACTGCCACTTCACCCTCATCGAAGCTCGGTGTGGATTTTTTGCGCCTTTTTTTATCGACGGCGGTTATCTGGGAAATATGACTCATATATATTTTCCATGGCCGCTCGGAAAATTGACGGTATCTGCAGCTATATTTTATAGCCACCGATTGCCGAGATAATGTAGCCCCGGTACATGTCGAATGTGTATTCACACGGTCGCGTTCGGCAGATACCACTGAAAGAGACTCATAGTCCTGTTTAACCTTTTTTTTCCGTCATTTTCGCACACGAATGGTTTAAATAATTTATTTCGTTGATATACATTCACGTTTGAAAATGAATATCTACTAACTACCACTTAAATTTGATTATAAAAAGAGTTTTAAATTAATTAAAAATGGAAAATTATTTAAATAAAAATTGTTGAAGTGTATTTAAACGTTGTAAATTGTTTTGATAAATAATTTATGGAAAAGAGCGATAAGTCTAACATGTTAAAAATATTAAAAAATTTTTATTATTAACTCTAATGTACGCTTGATTTATTTATTATTGAATAAATATGTTTGTAATATTCATAGAAAACTAAACATTTTTTTTAAATTTTTTAAATATGCTCACGAATGTAGAGAATGTTGTTAATTTGTTTTGATGAATAATTTATGGAAAAGAGCGGTAAGTCTAACAAGTTAAAAACATTAAAAAATATTTTTATAATATTCATAGAAAAAACTAAAAACATTTTTTTTTATTTTTAAAATGTGCTCACAAATGTATTAGAAAAGTTTTATCGAAAAACCTTTCTAAAAGCTCTGCTTGGAAAGCTCACAAAAATTAAGTCGTCAGATCTGGGGAAGGGATGAACGGATGAGACGACGTTGATGTGTGACAGCTGCACAGATGTTACATTACCGGGCGATTTTTTCTTGAGGCTCTTTTTCTGGAATGGAAGCGAACAACGTTTTCCACACATAAATTATATTTTCGTCTCGTCTCCCTCTTTCGCTTATCGTGCGACTTTTTTCTTTCTTTTCGTGAATATGCGGTAGCAACGTTGACAGGTTAACGCCGCCTGTCGCTTCAACATAACGTTACGTACAGTAAAACGACGGATTTACCACAACTCTTTAACCCGATTTACATCCCGCATTAATCTAAACCTGCATGCGAATGATTTTCTTCCGTATTATTAAGTTATAACTTTTTATTTTACTCATTTTCTTTGTTTACAGAATATTGAGAAATGGATCAACGAATCGAGTGAGGGAGTTGTGTACTTTAGTATGGGTTCTATGTTGATTGGACATAGTTTTCCAATAAAAAAGCGGGAAATGTTTCAGAGAGCATTTTCCAGATTAAAACATAGAGTTCTGTGGAAATGGGAAAACGACACTATGCCCGGAAAACCAGATAATGTTATGACACAAAAGTGGATGCCACAATTTGATATTTTGTGTAAGTATATTTAGCAAATAAATAAATAACCACATGTTTACTAAATTACGTTTTTCGGGGTAACAATATCTAGAAACGTTATACTACGTCATACAACTCTCCCTCACATTTAGTTTTATTATACAACGCATTCGTTTGGGTTTTTTGTTTATCTTCTGTTTCCACATCAATGGGCATATCGTGTTGGTAATACTAACACGAGCTTATTTCACGTAGGTACACATGATTAATTTTTTATCATAGAAGACAAATACGAAACTGTTTATTGCCCTATATGTCGTATTAGCAGTAATTTTTTTTGTGACAAATTCGTACTGAACGGACACTGGTAAACCAGTTGTCAACATTAATCTCTCCCACGTTTTTAATTGATTTTACCAGCTGTTTTACTTCATCCGAACAGTTACGGGAAATTTGAAATGAACACTTTTTTTATATTCACGAGGGCAAAAATGTATTTGAAAGTTTTTGAATATCGTTTCAAAATTATCTCTGTGAGAATCTAACTTGCATGTAAGGCAATCCATATTTTTGCATTTTGTGTTTGTCATTTAGGTGAGAATAGACATTATTATATGAACGAGTACAAAAACTACTTGTTGGACAATATCTAGAAGCAAGCTATCGATTACGCTGATAGTGATTATTCGAAATCCGAATCTTCATTAGCTACAATTTTATAATCTGACCATTTATCATTATTTTCGATGGCTACTTCTTTTTCGAATGTACACCTAGTTCTTTGCTTTTCCACTCGCACTCATATTTGCTTGTGACACCCGGGCAGAACCCTTTATCTATGGAAAAAACTTTCATTCTGGCTTTCTTGGCCTTCTCTCCTAAGAGAGATGTTACCATTCCTGACTAGTGGGGGCTCCGCCTTCACTTGCACGACGAAGTACTAAAAATTACCCAACACTCATTTTACAGCAACATGTAATGGTATTCCTAGTCTGTCAAAATTCTTTAATAATACGGACTAATCTTTATGTTAGATCTAGGTCGCTAATCATGTGGAGTATTGGAGGAGTATTAAATTGCAATGGGATGCTGTTGGAGAGCAACACTACTACTTTTTTGATATTTTATAATAGTATTTACTTAATAATCACCATCATTTTTGCCTTTGTAATTAAGAGAGTTAATATGATACAGTCTGGAAATTCTAACCTGTTTGGATACTATAGAATCAAATTCGAGCATAATCCTGCATATATTGCGCATTCATCTCTTAAATAGTGTATTCCTATGGCATAATATTGTCATAAACAGAAGACTTGTATAATAGCAACACGGAATCTTTAATTGTATAAAACATTCTTTAAGCATAATATCTTATTAGAGGTTTAAAAAGCTTTTCCACACGCAAATCAAGTCTGTATAAGTTCTACTATAGCAGCGACGAGTCTAGAATTGTATCCTGGCGAGAGAATGACGCTAACGTATTCCTAACACAGATATGAATAGGTTCACTATCAAACTGAAACTCATCGTTCAACATACATTCAAGGTCATCCCAAGTAGTAACTGCTTTACGAATGAACCTATACCAACTCAAAGAAAATCTATCGCCTCTAGTTCTCTGCCAGCAGTGTCTAGTTTTCTGCCAGGTTGATATAGCCTTCTGCAAACAATACCTAACTTTCTATATAAATTAACAACACCTCCTCTTTTGTAAGCAATAAGTACTCATCTGAAAACGGTGCCAAGTCCTCTGCTAGCAGTGTTTGGTTTTTTGCAAACAATATTTAGTTTTCTGCAAGTAGTATTTATTATAACTACGAAGGCTTCACGGTCGGTGTTAATTAAACTAAAACTAGAACTAACACTAAACCTAGAACAGCCGCACAGAGAAGACGGCTGGAAACTCAGCCGCACATGGAAGATGCTGGTAAACTCAACGAAACCTTCTCCACTCGGATTTGACAAAGTCTATTTAGTTGACAATTAGACACTAATTAGTTATTATTTTTTTTTACGTATTGTCAAAATTTCGTCACTTCAACTTATTTCTGAAAAAGATTCAAAATGCAACATCGCATCCGAAACGTAAAACACTTTTTCAAAAGTCTCACGGCTTAACCCGAAAGTTTCTAGGTCTAGTATTTAGTAATATAAGTACAATGGCTTTCACGGCCGATGTTAATTAAAGGTTAAATTTATTAGTATTCCATTCCCAGTATTTGGTCTATCAGCATCTTGTCCTTTGCGAGTAGTATCTATTCTTGTGTCATGATCATATAGTCTTTTGAAAATGATATATAGTCTTCTAAGATAGATCCTCAATATCTAGTCTTCTATAAGCAGTAAGTAGTCACTTGCTTATCTAGACTTCTACCAGCATCTTCAAACAGTATTTAAAGAATACTGTTTGAAAAAGACAGCATGCATTCTAATTGGCTATCTTTCTTATGTAAGGGACATATGACTGCGACGTTCCACTCTTCCGGCATTTGTTTTTCACGCCAATCTTTATCTACCGGCTTTAAAGAGTTCCGCTGTAATAACATCTCTTCCCGGTGCTTTATGGTTCTTCAGTTTTTTTTATGGCAAGTCGTATATCCAGCAAATTGGGTATTTCTACTTGGTCATTATTTTATACTTTTAGTTCTTCTTCTTAGTCATCAGACCCAACAGTTCAGAAAAGTGTTCCACTCATCCATTTAGGATCTTGACTTTTGGTTTAAAATCTTTACTTATAGTATTAAAAAAACTTTCTCGTTTCTAACTGGTTTTTGAGTCGTTCTATTTCGCCCAATATTCTCTCCTCGCCTTCCCTTTTCTTTTTTCTATGTATTCTCTTTGTCTCTAAGATTTGTGTACATCTCCTCTGCCTCTCTTGTTTTGCACTGTGTGCCTAAGCATTCTTCATCAAATCAGACGTTTCGTGGTGTTTATTGGTCATAATTCAATATGCTTGCTACTGCTTGTTTTATGAAGTCGTTAGAACATTGCCACATAGAGTTTACTGATTCGTCATCTTTAATCATTAAGATCTCTTCAATATAATTCTGGTATGCAATCAATATTTCCTTTTCCTTTTGAGCATTTCTGTTGTATCTCCTTGATTTGCTTCCTTTAACTTAGAAATTCTGGCTCTCAGTTAGCATTTATCACGTTGAAGTAATTCCAACACAGGATGGTCAAAGATTTTTGTCTCTATTTAGTAAAAGTAGTACAATATTTGTAGCTAACTTTAGACGATTAAATTCACTAAAAAGCAATTCACTTTACAAAATTTATAAAACTAAATATTTAAAATATTTGTATAAATATCAAAAAAAAATTGTTAAAAAGAATATTGAAATTTGATACTTTTAAAATTACACATTTGTGTCATGTTGGTATTTTCGTTGGTATTAGCGTAGAATGTGGACCAGTTTGGCAATTTAAAAAACGATAATTCACGGCATCGGTTCGTACTATCTATAGGAAGGGTTAGTTTTTGGCCATAAATTTTTGTTCGTGCGTTTATTTCACGCGACTTTACCGGGCGGTGGTCGTATATTGGTTCGGAATGCGCCATCCGGTCGCGGCCGCTGATTTTATAATCCGGATATTCGAACGGGTTCGCGCCCGTTGTTTAGCAGTTTATTATGTTTTATGCGCATTTGATCGCCACCGCATCGTATAAGTGAAGTATACTGCCGCGCTAATTCCGATTGCAATTAAACGGCGAACTGGGGATGCAGGCAAACCCTTCTCTATACAAGGCTCCCCCATCATATTTAATAACCATTGGGGTCGTACTAAACCTCCCAAATGGACGCTATTGTACTCGATTTTTGTTCCGGTTTATCACAACGCAAAATACCGCTCCTCTATAATGTTTTTTAAGGTAACGCACCGTTCGACATCAAACGCATAAAATTGTAGTCATAGCTACCAACCTGTGTGTGTGGAAAAATGTTTTAACCGCAGAAAAAAATAACGTTTTTTGCGAGAATTATTCAATTTTTGTTATGGTTGTATAAAAAATATTTAAAATATTTACGTACGTGATCCATACAAGTTCTTTTTCATATAAATCCTGACAACGTTGTAAAAATAACAATAGACGATTTTTGTTATTGGGTTTACAATTTTTAGACAAGAATTAAAATAAAAAATTCTTTTTGAATAACAAACCGTAGATATAAATAAAGACAAACACAATTACTCCAGTGACAACCATAATAAAAGGAATCTTATTTCGGCGTTATGTATTCCACTGTCCATTATAGGGTGTATTGTAAACGGGGGCCACGACAAAAGCGTTCTGAACCGCAAATTAATTCCGACCGCACAAAGGGGACCGGTGTGCAACCCCAACCTAAAATTAATTGTTTGGTTCGGGTTAGGATTCCTTTTCGAATTTAGTACTGCGAAGTTTATTCGTTTCCCGTGATGATTATAAACAGAGTTTAATTATTATCTATAATGATCGCCCGCGGACGGGCGGAAAAAACAAATGTTTTATAAAAAATATTTTTCTAAAGCATTTCCACACGGTAATACGCGAGCAAATTGCGCAAAAAGCGCACAGGTCAGCGGACTGTCGGACGAGCTTAAAGCTCCTCGGCGCTCGAGCGTTTTCGTTTGAATGACGTTAATTTAAAGTTTGTGCACCGCGGAGCGCACGGCAACGCAGCAATCCCACCCGGGGCTCTCCACCTCTGCCAATGGTGAGCTGAAAAAGGAACAGCAACTAATCTAAATTTTAATAACCGTCGACTCATTTTTTTTCTTCCTCTCCTTTTCAAACCACTATCATATAGGAACATTCGATAACGTTGCCTTCCGCAAATGAAACTTTTCTTGTAACTACACCATTGCCGTTCAAAAACCCTTTGATCTCGAAAATCCAAAGGAAATGTGAATAGAGCTAATATTACATTCACGAACTTTCCATAAAGTCATGTTCAATATCACAAATAACGAAACATTGGTAAAGTTAAGTTTGGATTAAGTTGTCCTGTTGTCATAAAATTTATGACACGCGTCCGCTTATGTTATAAAATCGATTTTTAATTTATTTATTTAATATTAAAGTTATGATTGGATTTGGAATAGTTTCCTTTTCGAAATTGTTGGGTAGGTTGAACCGGTTTAATGGGGTGAAGTGGTGCCAATTTCACCGGTACGACTACGGGGACGTGCAGAAACGCAACATATTCACCCGGTGCAGTTTCTAACCGCGCTCGCGCCGAACTTAATACCGCGCCGGTTCTAATCTAAATTAAAATTTCCCAAAGGGCGAATATCCGGAATTTCCCTCGCGGCGCCGCTCACGATCCGCGCTAAACTAAAATTCATGGAAATAAATAAATTTCTAGGTCACCCCAACGTCAAAGCGTTCGTTGCTCACGGCGGACTCCTTGGCATGACTGAAGCTGTTCATTGCGGAGTTCCTGTAGTGGTTATGCCCCAATTTGGAGACCAGTTCACCAACGCCAGAGCATTAGAAGCCAGTGGGGGAGGTGTCATTTTGGATTTTAGCACGATTACTGAAGATAACGTATATGAGGCTTTACAAAAAGTGTTAAATCCCAAGTATATTTGAAATATCATATTTTTATTTAGATTTATAATCTTAATTTTCTTGTAGGTTCAAAAAACAAGCTGAAGAACTTTCCGCACGCTTTAAAGATAGACCAATGTCGCCGATGGATACAGCTATTTATTGGATTGAATATGTAGCACGTCATAAAGGAGCTCCACATCTAAAAACTGCAGCTGTTGGAATGCCTTTCTATCAATACCTTTTACTAGATGTAATAGCTTTTCTTCTTGTAGTATTCTTATCAATTTGTTTAGTATCCTACTACACATTAAAAATGTTATTAAAATGTGTATATCCAGCCAAAGTTAAAAAAACGAAAACTAATTAATTATAGACTGTCTTAAATAAAGAATTAAGTATTTTCTAATTAACCACTTCATTTCATTTTTGTTGACTACGACAAATATGACGCTCTACAACACAAAGTAATACAACGAAAAAAAAATCTCTTTTACATCAGCAACACCCCTGAGGCATTCGAAGCAATTTCCGCTCTTCTTCAACACCACGTCCTCTTGTTCTTTTTCTCCGCATAGTGAAAAAGCTTACAAAAGCGACGACCAGCGACGGACCAAACGCGGTTCGGAGATTTGTTTCTATTCGGCGCCGGAAAAAACCGCCAGAAGGGACGCCGAAATTGAAAATAATAGCTTCGGGGACCCAGCACACCGCCGGAAGCGGCGTCGGTGGTGGCGGCGCCCGAATTGAATTACGTGCGCGTGACGGAAATGCGAAACAGCGCGATCGCGTCGCTTTACCCCCTACGACTCTTTCACTAATTCGGATTAAAAGCAGACCCTGTTAAACGCAGGTTTTTCTCCATGTCACATAAAATGCGTGCCTTTTTTTGGAGATATCAAGAGAAATATTATATATCGTACTTATTACTAGGATTATGTTACCTATTGTAATTTAGTTATTCTAACTACTACAATTAATTTTGAACATAAACTAATCTTGTTTACCTAATGCAAATTTAGTTGTAATTCACTATCTTAAGAACCCTAAATATTTACCTAATTAATTATTGGGTGTTGAATAAATTAAATGGAAATCGCATAGGATTAAATATTAAAAGTTGAGTGGTAAGAAGCTTTACAATTGAGCATCCGAATCGGGGCTAAGGGCGGAAAGAATTAAATAAATAGAGGAAGGAGTGCCTCCAGGAAAACTTTTAATTGGCAGGATTCGAAGGCGGCTAAGTGCGGAGTTATGGTGTGTCTTCGGTAACTTTTTCACCGTGACCGCAGGGAGAGTGGCGTCGACTGGGCGGACCGGTGGATTAAAAATTCATTAAAAGTCAACTTGAACTTTGAACTTTAGGCTGGGTTGCTTGTCTTCGGTAAAAAAGTTTACTCGCAAATATTGTGTGATCCCTCATTTTCCGGTGGCAACGGCTCCTATTATTTATGTCGTGTCCCCCGCGACCTTCATGTCATTTCCATCAAGAAGACGGATACGTGTTAAGTTGTCGTGGCTCTGCTATCCTTAACGTTCCTTTATAGTCGAAGTTTACCTGTTTGTGCTGGCTCTCCAGGTCCCGAGGTGATTTTAGATACCTGAGACGTGGAGCTGTGAGGAGGAGACGAGAACGAAGGAGGAGCTCATCCTGCCAGATTCTTGACGTGCCGCGGTATTCTACGTCCAAAGAGGCACAAACTCCATTAACTAGCGTGAAGTTCTGGCGTTCCCTCGTGGCAGAAGCCGGGCTGCCTGCGAAGTTAAAATACTGAAAGGTATTTTGCTGAAATTCTGCGCAGCGCAGATAAACCGAGTCACGCGCCGTTTATTACCGCAGCAGCGCCTTTTCAATTTTTAACAGGACGTGTTCCGCTTCTTAGGATTCCGCGAAACACCTTTCAGACGTCAACGCCTTCTGCAAAATTGACAGCAATTCTACCTTCAACAAATTCAACTACGAATTCCCTAAATCCGACTAACTGAAACAAAAAGAATTAGTGTCCTAATAATAATTTCTTGTTTTTATGATTTAATTATGTTTTTAAAATAATATTATAGATATAGAAACTGCTATAACATTTTTGTATGTGTTGTCCATTTATCTGATTCTGTCAATGGCTTCTGCAAAATTGACAGTAATTCTACCTTCAATAAATTCAATTACGAGTTCTCTTTACAACCAAAATCCTACTAACTGAAACAAGAGACTAAGTAGAATACTACGGAGACCTATCTGATTATATATCAAACAGTTATTAAGGCTCAATAAGGAGCTTAGAAGTTCTCCCTGTGCCTCTCGACAACTCGGTACTATATCAAACACCGCTACACCGCCCAATATCCTGCTGAAACGTAACCCTCTCCCACCCCTCACTTTGCTGCAAAGCCGTAGCTTGCTTGCGTATGCGTGAGCCCCGTCGACTCATTAGAGGAATTTATTGCATCCCATCTACAACCATACGTCACAATTAAACCTGCTTGCGTTCGGCAATGTAGTTGCATCCCCACCTCTGTGGCCCTATCTAGTACTCGAGGACCTCTCTCTACCGTTATATTAACCGCCTAGAGCTTGCCAGATTATCGTTCAGGAATTTCTGAATATAATTAAAACATTTATCAATAAATTTAATACAAATAACTTTTTCTAATCTGTCATTATTATACTGCCTATAAAATTATGACTGGTCAATCCCATCGATCAACAAGAATATTTGCACTGTGTTATGTCAGATTACACAAGTACACCCCGGTTCAATTGGGGCAGCATGGCGTTCGATATTATCCCTGTTGGGGATTCTCAACGGACGCGGTGTCGGGAGGTAATTCGGCATTGCGTTCGCAAATCAATTACTGGACGGATTACTTTGCAGGTATATGCACCGTCGGTCGTCCTCCGAGACAAGGGCTAATGATCGGCCATGAATGCATTATTGATCAGATTAATAGGCTCCATTGTCACGGCTACAGGGAGCGGCCTAGCAAATGCTGAAACGCCCCTTCCTCTACCTGCTGGACCCCTGAACCTTAATCTACGCGCCTCGGCATGAACGATTCCAATTGTCCCTTTCCCACAATTCAATTAGGCCGAGTGGTCGCAGTTGCATTAACAGATTAGAATGTCGCAATTTTGATGGCAAAACTCCTTGTTACTTGTTAGAATTAATTTTTTGATGTAACGCGTACTTTCAGTACATTCATGCGCGTAATTGAGTAATCATTCGTGTGGATTGTTCTCTACACAACGACAATAACAACAATGATTAATTATTTATCGATCAGTTAACAGGCGAACTGTGCACGTCCCACTAGAGGTGGCCATTTTCGATATCCAAACGTAATATACAAAGCACCATATATTACAACAGATTTTACACCCAACACAACATTAAACATCGATTTAAATATGAATATAAAATTTTTGTGAAAAGGGTTCTTAAATATACTTGTTTCTGCTTCCCTTGTTGTTGAGCCAATAAAAAATAAGACAATAAATATGAAGTGATCTCCATATCGAACCCTACAGTAAAAGTTTTTCCCTGTCGTGAAGAGGGTGAAAACACTTCCGCCCGAAAACTTGCATTATCAAATTCTCGCAAGATACGGCCTAAAAGGTTCCCAAAAACTAAATATGAATATGAACGCCACCCCTCGGGGTTCAGGGAGTAACTTTGGGGAACCCGTTCGAGACACGACTTTTATCTTTATCGTCGCTATCTGGTCCCCTTTTTTTCTCAAAACTTTGTGGTTTCCGGTCGCGTACGAATCGATCGATCCAATAATAAATACCGCGAAAATCGTTCGCAAATGGAAACGAAGTGTTGAACGTTTATATGCAATAATTCCGGTGGACAGCGGAAACGCATTAGTGTATTACTTTGCGCGAACCGTAATTGATTAGGAACTGGGCGTCATGTGTGTTGCGGAGCGATTAATCAAATTTGACACGCTTTCGCTCGATTGGTGGCCGCCGTTGTGTACACTAATTCGTGACGACACGACATAAAAATTCGTGTTAGAAAATTAAAAAAATAATTAAACCCCTTTGTTTTACAAACAATATTATCAAGGATATGGCTGCAACAACGATTGGGAAGACTTACATACCAAGCGTACTTTGTAGACAACTTTTATGAAGCCCCCGCCCATCTAATGCAACACAATCTGTTGTAAAGTTGAAAAGTGCTCGCGACAATACCCGAACTAAACCCAGATAAAGTTCCGGCCACTTGCCGACTCACCAGTCCTCTTTAATTCAAATGAAATCCTTGCAAGAAGGAGTCCTAAAACGACTCCTTAAGAATCTTGCTTTGTTTCTAATACACAAATTTTAAATAATGCTTTGTTACATTGTTAAAATAAAAACTTTTTAATCTAAAGGTCTTTCATTAAGCGCTTCCTATTTTTAAAGTTAAATAAAACAAAGTGTTTGTGAGATATAAATGAAATTTCTTATTCGATGTGTGAAATCAAATGTCCGCCGTGGTTTCGCTGCGTGGCACGCATCTGAGATTTCCAATTTTCCATGACTCTGGCGCATAAATCAGACTGAATTGGACCACTGACATGGATTATGTTAGCTTGGAGGGCCGCTGATGTTTGTGGCTTATTCGCATAGCCCTGCGACTTAAGAAAACCCTACAAGAAAAAGCCTAAGCGGGTCAAATCGCACGATGTTGGTGGCCAGTCCACTCAGACCCTGCCCTGAAATTGCTCATGCAGAATGACTAATGTGGCATCAGCTGTGTGGCATGTTGCGCCGTCTTGTTGAAACCACAATGATATGTCAGTGATGTCCATATCATCCAATGCAGAGCAAAAGAAGTTCGTAATCATAGCCCTATAGCGTTCGCCTTTTATAGTCGTTCTGGAAGAAATATGGACCGATGACACCGTCAGCCCAAAATCCACACCACACACTGACTTTTTCGGGATGCATTGGACGCTCATGGATCTCATGTGGATTGATTCATCCAGAAATGAACCTCATCGCTGAAGATGCTTTTTTATGAAAATTAGAGTCAGTTTCCAACTGTTCCAGAGCCCATTCAGCGAACACACGTCGTTGTGTATGGTCGTTTACCTTCAGCTCCTGGGTCGGTTGGATTTTGTACAGGTGCAGGTCCAAGTCACAACGCAAAATTCGTCAAGTTTCGTCATCGTACAGGTGTTGGTTCCTTGTTTACTGAACAAGCCTCCAATTTATTCATCACACTGCGAATAGTCCTCTCGGTAGGACGACTACGACGACCGTAAAATGGGCGAAGCCCGCGAAATCATGCGGAACGTTGCCTAAATAGAACACCCATTTTGATAATAGAATTTTATCATTTGCATGTGTTGTTGAACACTATATCCGTCCATGATGATTTGGCAAAACAGACTGAATAAA